AAAAAGACGACAACAATAGCGACGACGATAACGACGACAACGACATCGACGACGCTGACGACCACGACAACGAGAAGGAGAACGAGAGGAGAAAGGAGAGAAGAGGATAAGCGACGGGGTTGACAGCAGCACGTTGACAGCCGTGACAGCTCCGTCACATGGAGCATTGAGCGTAACCGAGCAGAGGGCCGTTCGAGAAGCAGCTATCATGGACCTCAACAATGATTTGGATCAACACTTGCTGCACCAATTCAGCTGTCTGGGCACCACGGACAAGGACGACCTGGTGAAACAGCTACAGAAGCTGCTGGCCGACAGCCATCTGAACGAGACCACCGCAGCGTTTTTCCTGGATATGAATAATTGGTAACGGACGTTCTCTCCCCTCGACGGGACGCCTCCCGTACACTGCCCACGCACATAACCTTGCATCGCCATATTTATTGCGACCTCCCGTAGCGGCAGGTCCTTGTTCCTCCTCGGATCTGCCCGATCGAAAATGTCACGATTTTCCTCTTAATTTTTTTGGCTGATAACAAGCGCGACGCTTTATCTCTCTTTTTTTCTGTCCTTTTCTCCGAAATGCTCATTGTTCCACTTTTTGACACGACGTGTCCCATTTTGCACCTAACTATAAATTCATATAAATTTCGGACCGCCTCTTTTGGAATTTAAACTCGTATTTACATTGACGTCCGCGAGTTAAATACCACGTGCATATGTTTTCATACTTTGAAGATAAAGAAGAGAATGATTATGGAGGATAGAAATATAATTGAAAAGAGAATACTTAATTTTAATAAATCATGTAGACAGTTACTTTTTAATGTTTAATTGGCGATTAAAAAAAAAACTATATATATATATATATATATATATATATATATATATAATAATGTATATAAAATATACGTGTGTGCGTGTGTGTGGTGTGTGTATGTGTGTGTGTAAAACACATAGATAACATTATGAATTTGTTTTCTGATCTAACAGTATTGTCCTTGTCTTTATCTTTTATTTGCAGATACTGTAACAAGGAAATTATTATTATTAAATACACTACGCAAAAGTTCAAATTTTTTTTACTGCTTAAATTCATAAACAGTCTTCCTTTTGTATCAGTGTGATTGTCATTATAATTAAAATTCTTTTTCTCCAGGAATCTGCAAGCAGCGATTTGCAGCTACATTGATTTCGGGAATCCTTTTAATACGCCATGCATGACGTTGATATGCGATTGCACGATTGGCGAAGGAGAGGCAGTGCCGCCCAATACAAACTTTCAGAAATCATGGCGTGTACAAAACAGCGGCACGGAGACATGGCCCAGCGGTATTCACCTGCAGCATTCCAGCGGTGTACAGATGGGTTGTGCACGGATACCTGTACCGCCGTTGGCTCCCAAAGAGACCACAGAATTAAGCGTAACATTGAAGAGCCCAGCTGAAACTGGCGTTCATCAAAGTAAATGGAGAATGATGACGTCTAACGGTGTCTATTTTGGTGGTATGTCTCAAATTCTGCATTCTATTTTCTTGTGACATAAAAAAAAATTGATAAATTTAAAAGCATGTGTAATCAAAAATAAAATAGATAAAAATATATTCACTTAATACAGTTTTGTAAATTAACTTTGACCTAGGATTTTGACCTACATTTATCTTATCGTAAGCTAGTTACATATAAACCGTACGGATTTTGTCATGTTTACTTATCTTGTTGATATCTTTAACTGATAAAAATTACAATAGACTTGGCTACTTTTATTCTGATTAAAATCTTAGCAGGAGAGATGCAGAGTATGAGATGCATATGAAAAATGAATTTTACAAAAAAATGCATTTCCCATAAAAATTTTATTCTAAATCTTTATTAGAACAATTCCTTATTCGTAGTGCAGGAATCATTTCCAGCGTTTGTTCTTACTGATTTATATAAAAATAACGAATTTTTATATATATAGAATTACATGAAAATTTTGTTATAAAAACTGCTTACATAAGGCCTTTTATGATCATTCGTGCTTGTCGATCGTATCGCATGTGATCGAGAAATTAAATGATAACGTTAAACATACAAGTATCATTATTTGTTTCTCCGTTTGATTTCGAAAGATTTAAAATAAAACTTGTCAATCTGTCTTCTATTAGATATTGCTCCAATCAATTTAATTTGATCGCAATTCTACAAAAGAAAAATCTGTTTATCTTTTTCTTCGCAGATGTTATCTGGGTGATCATAACGGTGAATGAATGCGGCACATTGGCGGTTACTCAACAATTGCATCAGTTAAGTACACAGTCCAACGATGTACAAATGTGTTAGCCTTTGACGTACAAAAGTCTCCCATGAGAAGTTTTACGGGATATTGTGCATAAGATGTCTCTCGAATCGTTGTGAGGATCGACAATTATTTCTAAATTGTATAGGTCGCTTTTTTTCACAACGGAGCTTTTGCCGCTCCTGCAATTCTACGTAAAAAATAAAAAAAAAGAAAGAAATTTGTTGTGTATTAGACATACCAATTAATAAAAATTACAATAGACTTGGCCTACTTTTATTCTAGAATTAAAATCTTAGCAGGAGAGACGCAG